GAGTTTTTGTGTAGTGGGATCTGAAGGGGACCAGGATAAGTTGTCTACTCAGACCCATACTCTGTCTGTCCATGGTGTTGGGCACAGGGTCTGACTTTTATAAACGTTGGCTGACACTCCAAAGTGAAGGCTGATATGTCTGACCAAAAGCCCAGGTTTGAAGATCAGACGCACCAAGGTTCATGTCCTGGCCTTGCCAATTCGTAACTATGTGGCCTTGGATGAGTTACCTGTCATCTCTGAAACTCAGTTCCTTCCCTTGTAAAATGGAGTTAATAACAGTATCTACCTGGCACAGAGAAGACATTCAATAGATGATGGAGATGCTGTGTCTGTCCTATACCTCACGGACCCTGGGACTGCAGCTGGTACACAAGAATATCTGCTGAATGGCGGCATCTTGATTAGATAGGACTTGTACCCTCAGATTTCTAAGTTGAGTTGTGTCTACTATACATGAGGCATTTGTGTATGTGAGGAGTATTTTTCACACAAACACCAGATCAGGTACATAATTGTCTTAATATGGGTTCTCTAGAGAAGCAAAACCAGTGAAGCTTATATACAAAGGGGCTTCAGAAAGTTCATGGAACAATGGAATTAAAGCATAATAGAAGTTTTTCACCAACTTTCTTTGAAATTTGAGATTTATCTCAAGGAAATGGCTCACACTGTTGTAGAGGCAGGCAAGTCCCAAGTCTATGGGTCAGATGGCAGCCAGGAGGCTTCTCTAGGACTCTTGTATTCCCTGTTATAACCTTGGAGAATAGAACCTGGACAAATGCATAGTATATGCACAAATATCTGCTGAATGAACAAATAAACATTCTGCAGTTCTGAAAGATAGTCCACAGAGATCAAATCTCTAATCATCCAAGCTGACCACTACAAAACAGCAGTCCCTACATGGATATGCATGATGTGAAGTGTTCACTTAAAATTCATTTTAAAAATATTTTTGCATTAAAAATGCCAATCTCTTTTTTAATAACAAAAACATATCACATTTCATTCAGTTTCCTGAATTTTTTAATTTACAGAATTCTAGTAAAGTATATACAGTGTAATCTGTGCATTTTAGCAAAAATTCCCACAGCACACATTCTAGAAGTGTTAAGTGGATCACAACTCCTCATGGTTTTCTCGTGTTGATTCCTCCATGGGGAAAGATAAACTCATTACTGAAACCTAGCTCCATTTGTGTGTAACATGGTCCTATTTATGCAATTACTTAAAGAGAAAAACTCTGAAAACAGAGGATAGTTAAAATCTTTCAAATGGATTACAGTTGCAATGTATCTTTAATCCTAAACTGAAGCTCTGTTAGCATGGTCCTAAACAAAGTGCTTGGGACTGGGCTTGACAATTGGGCATTAATTAGAGTGCAATTCAGTATCCTTCGTTCTTGTGCTGTTCCCATATCTCCTTCCTTATAAATCAGAGAACAACAAGGAGTCCTTGGCATGCTTTTCTAACTAACTTAGTTGACCAAAGTTAATTACCATGAAGTTCCCACTAAATCTCCATCATCCTGCCCTTCAGTAATTCTAGGCAGCCTGTAGATTTAGCAATCAAGACTTCCTCTCCCTCCTTCCTCTTTCCACTCTGCCCACGCCCCCATCTTCAGCTCCACTGGGATCTGCATGACAGAGAGTATCAGAACCACAGTGTCAAACAGGCATCAAATGGAAAAGCCAAGCTCCATGGTGCTCATCTCACCTAGTTGCACAATGTTATGTAGGCGTGGCCAGACTGTAGCCTAGAAATGGTGGTCATGTGAATAGCTCCGTCCATGAACTGGCCTTGGAGAAATCATTCTCCCTTTGACTGCCAGTGGTGCGTGTTGAATGGGGGTTCATGTTCATGTGCTGGTCCCACCAGCCAGCCACACAGGCAGCATGGGGATAGGTTAGTTAGGACTTTGTGTTGGAAGAATACTTTATTGTGTTTCACAGATACTGTGAGGTGTTATATTTGCTTATATGTGGGTTGTTATTTTTCCCCCCACTGGTAGTTTGTGGCAACCCTACATCAAGCAAATCAAAGAGTGCTATGTGCTTGCTTCATCTCTCTGTGTCACATTTTATTTATATTTACAATATTTCAAACTTTTTCATAATGCTATTGTATCCTAAGGAGCCCTGGTGGTGGTTATGTGCTGTGGAGTCAGAACCGACTCATAGCGACCCTGCACAGGGTTTCCGAGGTTGTAAATCTTTACGGGAGCAGAAAGCCTCATCTTTCTCCCACAGAACAGCTGGTAGTTTTGAACTGCTGACCTTGAGGTTCGCAGCCCGATTCGTAACCACTACGCTACCAGAGCTCCTGAGGAGTCCTGATAGCGCAGTGTATTACAATATGGACTGCGAACCACAAGGCCGGCTGTTTGAATCTACCAGTTGCTCCATGGGAGAAAGATGAGATTTTCTGCTCCGGTAAAGATTTACAGCCTCGGAAACACTACGCTTAGTCACTACGAGTCAGACCAGCTCCGTGCGCACAACCACCACCACCACATTATATCCTGTGGAGCACAGTGGCCCTGTAGGACAAGCACTGGACTATGAACCACAAGGTCCACGTTTCAAGTCCACCAGGTGCTGCTCCACAGGAGATAGATGAGGCTTTCTGCTCCCTCCAAGATTTACAGTCTCAGGGTTGCTATGAGTCGGAACTAACTCCATGGCTCATAACCACCACCGTAACCTTTATTGCTACCACATTCTGCTCACTTTAGTTCTCACTACCATCACTCATTGTCAGTCTGCCACACTGTGGTGGCTTGTGTGTTGCTGTGATGCTGGAAGGTATGTCACCGATATTTTAAATGCCAGCAGGCTCACCCTTAGTGGACAGGTTTCAGGGAAGCTTCCAGGCTAAGACAGACTCGAATGGAGAGGCAGACTGAGTGTTTAGCCATTGAAAAACGTATTGAAATCAGCATCGCACTGCCAGATACAGTACCAGAAGATGAAAACATTTCAGGGTAACAGCAATTGTGAGGATGGCATGGGTTCTGTGTACATAGGGTCGCTGTGAGTTGGAGCCAACTCAATAGCATCTAACAACAGCTGGACTGCAAACCACTTATGAGGCATTGGTGACTCAGTGGTAGACTTATTGCCTTCTTACTCTTGGTGTGGTGCTGTTGGATCAGCACTGGACTGCAAATCCCAAGGTCAACAGTTCAAATCCACCAGTCGCTCCTTGGAAACCCCGCACAGGGTCTCTATGAGTGGGAACAGACTTGATGGCACTTAACAACATCATTCAGGAAACCTGAGCTCAATTCCCAGCCAGTGCCCCTAGTGTGCAACCAGCACCATCTTTCAGAGGAGGCCTGTGTATTGTCTGATGCTGAACAGGTTTCAGCAGAACTTTCAGAGTCATGTGAAGTAGGAAGAAAGGCCTGGCAAGCTACTTCTTAACACGAACCAATGAAAACCCTTAGAATCACAGTGACCCCACCCAGAACCCGTCATGGAGCTGGGGCAGAGCTGGGCAGCATTTTGTTCCGTTGTGCATGAGGTCTTACTGAGTCAAGTCAGCTAACAATAACAATAAGTGTTTTAGAGATGGGCTGAGAGAGAAAGGATAATATGACAGAATCCAATGCTTTTGTGCCCCTTCTAGAGCAAGTGACAAGGTCAGATATAGTTTGTGACGCTGGGATATTTTTTAACTAACTGGAAAACTTTGGTTAAGAAATTCGGCCAGAGGAAATAGAGGTAAAAAAACAAAACTAAAACACTAGTTATCCAAGGTAGTTTTAAGATGTTTGGAGATTTTATTCCCTTATCCCAATCTCTTATTCTTCACACTTTTAATATGGCTATATGATCTTTAATTGTATATATTTACAATACGGAGACAGGGTGCAGAAAGTAACAAGAAATGGATATTTTTAAATATCCATTCCAAAGCATGGTTCCAAATATGTGAAATGCTTTCAAATATGGTGTACTTACCAAGTGGTTAAAATAAAGATACAAAGCAAAAGTTAATTATATTGCTTTTTTTCAGCCTAATCTATACTTTAAAAGCTTTTGAAAATGTTAGCAATACAGATTGAAAAAAAAAAAAGAAGCGTGGAGACAAATGTCCTTCCAGCAGCTGCAGAAAGAAAAAGCCCAACAGTACCCACCCGTTTTATAAGGGAGAACACAGAGCAGACAGGACAGACCAGGAGACGTGCAGCTGGGCAGTGTGAGGCCAGAGCAGAGCGCAGGCTTGTTCCCAGCAACCCAGTTGTTAGTCTCCCTGCATGTACTGGGAAGGCCGTTGCCAGACACCGGGGAACAAGCCAAATCCACAGCCACATCAGCCCTGCAGCATGTAAAATCAGAGAACCTCCAGCCGGACACAGGAGTGGGTTGGGCACCAACAGGATCAGGTGACTTGGCAATGTGGGCAGTTGCCCAGGAGATCACTGACCAGTCCTGCAGATCGTTTCACAGCAGGAACAAGGACCCTAACTTGTCCAGAACACCAAAGGGGAATTAGATCTGGGGCTGTTTGGAGACACTCAGAATCAAGGATCCATAAGACCTGGCATGGGTCTCAGGCCCCCAAGCTGGGGTTGAAATTTCCCAAAGATGGAAGTTTCCATGAAATCTGCGGTACTCTTATGTTTCCTGTTAGGGGCAGCATCGGGTCTGAAGGCCCAGCAGTTCCCAGTGCACTGAGATAACCACGCACGGCGTCTGGAGGGCACATGTATGAGTTCTCAGGAGTGTTCTGTGACCCTGTCCATCAGGCCTCCTTGAACGTCACAGGTGTTGTAGTCAAGAGCCAAGCAACAGTCTCCTGGGTTATCCACTCAGGTTTGAAAAGCCTTCTGACTAAGACTAATAATGTTCTTTATATGTATCCCTTTCTGAGTTGTTTTACTTTTCTCATTTCCTTTTTTTCTTCAATTTCTCTCTGGTCCCCACAGTGGGGAAGCTGCACCTTTAGTTCTTGTTATTTCCAAAAGAACCATTCACCTCAGAAAAGATCCCTCAGAGGGAGAGAGGCCCTGAGGTTGTCTCGAGCAACACAGATGACAGCTTCAAGCTTCCCCGTCTCCTTGTGAATGAATGCCACTGAGCCTGACTAACACAACCCAAGTACCTCAAGGTTTTCACAAGATCCTGTCGAAATCTCTCACCCACAAAAACATAGAGCACAGGGTTCAGGCAACTGTGGAAAAAGGCAATGGTCTGAGTGACCTGAAAGCAGATGTCGATGTTGGTGGAAATGGCACAGTTGGAAATGAACATGCTGTAGCTATCGATGGTGTACACCAACAGGATACAGTTATAGGGGAATTGAGATAAGACAAAGGCAGTAAGGACAGTGATGATCACCCTGAGGGCCTTGTGCTTGGATGACTTCTTGGCTTGTAGCAGGGTGTGAATGACGATGGTGTAGCAGCAAACCATGACCACAAAGGGAAAGAAAAAGCCCACAATGACCTTCAGGGTAAGGACAGTTGACTTCAGTTTGGTGCTCTCATTACTTGGGTAAATCATGGTACAGAAGCTGGCATCAGACTTCCATATGACTTGGCTATACAGGATTTCTGGGATGCAGAGCACAGCAGCTATCACCCAGATGCTGACACAAACCATTTTGCTGTACAGAAACCTTTTCTGCCTCCAGTTCTGGGCTTTCATGGCCTGGGCAATGGCGATGTACCTGTCCACACTGATGCACACGATCAGCAGCATGCAGCTGTAGAAGTTCATCTTGTACGTGGCGCTGACCACTTTGCAAATGAAGCTTGAGAACTTCCAATGGTCAGCAGCAGCAATGGCCCAGAAAGGAAGAGTGACAAGAAAGAGAAGGTCAGCAATTGTTAAATTCAAAAGAAACATGTCGGTCATGGTCTTCACCCTTTTGCAGTAGTAGTAGACAAGAATGACCAGACTGTTCCCAAAAGCCCCCACGAGGAACACGAGCCAGTACAAGGGTGGCAGAAAATTGCTTGCAAACTGCCGGACAATGTTTTTCTCACAATATAAGTTATTGAAGTCCTTGTAGTCATCCAGGGTAGAGGTGAAACCATAGTTGTACTCTTCAGATGTGTTAAGGATAAGGTTCTGCAGAAAGACACAAGACAGCGTTAGGTCAGGAACAATCTTTTGGAGGTCCTGTCTGAGAGAAAAGGCATGGGCCACTTGACCCTTCCAACCCCAAAAGTCTATGATGAGACTGAAGAAACATATGTATAGAAGTAGGAATTCTGACAGCACATACTTGGGTTGTAGAAACTTTATTCATCAAATGCTTTGCAGTGCCTACTGTGTGCCAGTGACTGCTAGGCGCTAAAGAAAAATGATGTCACTAGGGCCCACAAATAGGAAGAGATCTGTATCTGTGCCTATTCCAAAGAAAGATGACCCAACAGAATGCAGAAATAATCAAATAATATCATTAATATCACATGCAAGTAAAATGTTACTGAAGATAATTTTAAAACTTTTGCTGCAGTACATCGACAGCTGCCTTCTCCCCTTTTTCCTCTCCCATCTTCATCCTCTTCCTGCAATAGCCCTCCAGCTTGGATGGCCTAGTAGAATAGATGTGGAGGTTTGGGGTTGCAGCCTATGAGACTAATGCTGGTTGTGTGAGATGGTTAAGTCTAAAAAGATGCCCCCAACCCGCTACTCAGCGCTGTCATTGACTCTTCACTACCAACCTTGGCTCAAGCATAGATTGTAACCCCCTCTGCTCCCTTCTGAAATTAGCTGTTGGTGAGGAATTTGGGTCTTACCCATATCTTCTCTCCTTACTCTCTAGGACTGTTGCTTTTTCCTTCCTTCTTCTAAAGTTCTTTCCTGAACCACCACCACCCCACACTCCATGATACTTCCTTGCTTTGGCCAGAAGCCATCAGGTAAGGTTGAAACTAGTCTCTGACCTCGCTCATTTAGTTCTGTAACCTCGTTGATTTACTCCCTATCAGCCTGGATCACGAATCTGGAGTCCTCAGTCCTGCCTGCCACATTCTGCTGTCCTTATCAGGGCCCCCAGACTCTACCAGGGACCACCATTCCCCAGGCCACAGAGACAATCCCTCCCAGATGTTGTTTTAGCTCAGGTATCTATATGGTGACGAGAGCAGTCATTACGGTTACTCAGACCTCAAAACCCTTCATGGTTAAACTTGGGGAAAGGCCACATGAAGGAACTGGTATGTACATATGATCCCTTTGAATGTTTTCTCTTCCTGTAATTGCTTTGCTTTTAAAACCTGGAGAAGTTTTAAACAATAACAACAACAAAAGTCAACTAGTATAGAGTGTTTGCCTTGTTGGTATAGTGGTACATGCAAGTTGGGATTACAAAAGAATGCTTTCGTTGTTATGTTTAACTCCGGGGATATTTTTTAAAAGATCATACACTTCTGATGAAACAAGTTGTAGAAAAACCAGACAGACAGTCACTTTGATGCCATCCCCTCTTACCGTGGCACCTAGTGTGTTCTGTACCTCTAACTGATGTCACTGCTAAAGAACAGTGGTGACAGGCCAGACATGGTACCTGCTCTCACTGAACTTACTACTAGTGGAGGGTACAGACAAGGAGATGAACAACTGGACAGCAAAGAGGACTCTGGGACCATGGATGAGTACAAGCCAAGTAAGTGAGTCTCTTCACCCCTTCTCCTCTCTAGTCTCCCAAAAACGTCACCTGAGACCCACCAACTTTTCTGGGTCACAGACCCTCTGAGTCTCTGGAAAGCTGTGGATTCTGCTTTGGAAGTACCACCACAGATATGCCCTCACATATGCACACATGCACGCACACATACACACGCACACACAAGCACTGGGACTGGCTACATCATTTGCAGGGTCCCTTGTTCAAAACTTATTCGCAATTTCAAGACAACAAGTATTCATTAACCAAATGGCAGACCTATGAAGCTAGGCTTGATAAACATAATCACTCATGCACACATAAACACGTGCATTTGTACACATACTCACATGTCCACAGACATGCCTACACTCATGTTCCTATGTACACAGCCATACCCGTTCAGACATACACACACGCAGTGAATACATATACACACACATTCACACATCCAACATCCCTTGTTGCAGAACCCCATAAGCCATCCTAGAACCCTGCTAGGGGTTCTCATCCCTGAGACACGAGGATATGACTTGGTGCAGGAATGGAGGTGTGAGGCATCCCTGCACCCGCATTTTCCCAGGCCTCCACCCACAGATCCTCAGAAAACTTACATTTTCCCACCAGTCTCCATCCCAGGACTCCAATCAAGGCGCCCAGATTCTACCAGAGACCACAGTCCCTCCCAAATCCTACCTCTACCCTTGTTCTTCCTCAGGCACATGTGATAGCTGTAAAATCAATCTGCATTCATGTGGACTGCAAATTACCCTAAATCCACAATAGGTTTTTTATTTTGTTTGAAATATTTAATACTACCAAATAGTTAAGTATAAATACTCAGTTGATACATTTAAATACTTGCTCTGAATCTTCTGTTTGCTGTGTTCTCCCTGTCTATGTTGTAGGGCTGTTGATTGCCATGAGGTCAGTTCTGACTCCGGGCAACCCCAGGTGTGCAGAGTAACAATGCTCCACAGGGTTTTGAAGATGGAGACTTTCTGGAAGCAAATCATCATGCCTGTCTTCTGATGCAGCCCTGGGTGAGTTTGAATTACCAACTTTGGGACTAATAGTTGAGCACTTAACTGTTCATGTCATGCAGAGACCTCTCTCCTTGTCTGTATACGTCATCATTTCCATCTGCTTCAAATAAATTATGCCAGGTTTTTGGTGAACTACAAGTTAAAGGGAACTCTGGTGAGGAGCTGTAGGATAAGCACTGGACTTCTAACTACAAAGTCAGTGGTTCAAACCCACCAGCCACTCCTCGGAAACCCTTTACAGGGTCTCTATGGGTTGGAACCAACTGGATCGCACTTAACCAACAACAAGTTAGAGAGTTGAGAACTTCTGCATATTATATCTCCTTCTTTGAAATTCAAAATGGTCTGTATCATATTAAAAGCTCTGAAAAGCCCAGACATCTAGTTTTATTTTAGCAGCACATTAGCATAGTAAAGCTATGAGAAGTCATTCTGAATCTTCCGGATTCTTGTTTAAAAATGTGCCACAATTTCCTGCACCCAGAATCTATTGTGTGTGTTTGTGGAGTGCTTATCAAGATATCAAGGGACTCTGAGTAGGCTGATCTGGCTCTGAAGCTCGCCCCAAGAATTAGGAAATGAGTCTACCCCATGGGGTCCTTGACTGGCACGGAGTAGCAAGAAGACCTCAGGAGGAAGAATCCAGGAAAGTTCTGCTGCCTGGGAGCCTGATGCCGTCATGGCCTGGGCCTCAGGGCTCTGAGGCCCAGAGGAAGTAATCCCAGAAGAGGTGGGCTCTAGTAGACTTTAAGGGAAAGCAAGAGCTTTGGGATGGAGGAAAACCTCTGGAGAAGACAGAGAGCAGTAAACAGGAATCCTGAAGGTTTAAAGGCTGGGAGGACAACACTGTAGAGAGAAATCAGGAAAGCCAGGCAGGTGCCAACTGGGACTGTGCCCAATAACTCAGCATGAAACTCAGCTAAAAGAGACTGGCAGCATCCCACTCACAGTGAGGTACCCAGAGGTTCTCACACAAACAAGGAGGAGCATGCTCAGTGAGCCTCTCAAGCCAGTGCTCCTCCCACCGGAGGCGGCTTTAAGGGCAAAATGAGGAGGAAAAAGGAGGACAAAAGAGGAAGGGAAGGAATCCAAGAAAGGGCCAACCCCAAAGAAACCAGTTACCATCGAGTTGCCTCCAAAATCATGGTGACCCTGTGTGTGTCAGAGTAGAACTGTGCTCCACTGGGTTTTCAATGGCTGGTTTTTCCCACTAGATCACAAGGCTTTTCTTCCTAGGCATTTCTAGGAGGACTGTGGTAACTGTTTGTACTGCCATTGTTGTTGTTTCCTGCTCTGGAGTCAGTTCCCACTCACAGCAACCCTGTATAGGATTTCCAAGGAGTGGCTAGTGAGTTTGAACCACCGACCTTGCAGTTCAAACTGACCTTGTCGTTGCATGTTTATCGTACAGCACCACATCTAGAAACCCTTATTCGAGAAAGAATGAATTAGACTTTGTTTCTTCTTCTACTATAAGGAGTGATCATTGGTTAAAGTAGACAAAAACCTGTCCTCAGTCTGTATCTCCTGAGAATGGTGTTTTGTTAGAAATTAAATTATTCATTCCCTGTCCGAACTAAGAAGACAACGTGTTCATCCCAGGTTTAGGAAACATTTACTCTTTATTTCTCTCATGCGTAATAAATACTGAAATGCATTCACTCATTCATCAAATAACTTATTGAACAACATCTATATTCCAAGCAGGAAACAGTTTCCAAAGGACACCATTAGTGTTGACAACAGAAATAAAATGGGCCAGACTTTGAAAAGTTTAACAGACCTCTGCTTACCAGACTTTGGCCCAAATCAAGCCTTTGAATGGGACAAGGATTAGGATGACAGGTAGACTGTTTGTTTTCCAGTACTTAAGCTGACCCTGAGGGTGATGTAGACATTTTGGTCTGCTCTCTTAGGCCGTAGGCAAAAAATGGGGCCAGCAACACATTTTAAGTTAAGTCAGCTCAGCCAGCAGTTTTTCCCTGCTTTTACCCTCTTCCTTTTCCCTTTGAATCAAGAGCCTGGGAAGAAGCTAAGAATATAGTTAAACATTTGTAAAATGTCTCTGTGTATAAGGCCAGATCCTGGACAATGAGCCAAGAAAGAGCAGGTTGGAGTGCCCTGGCACCAGCCCCAGCTATTGAAACAATGACCAATGGAAGCATAACGAATCAAACTGCCCTCTGGGATTGGACACAGTACACAAAAATATGCAACATTTATCACCTCCACACTGTGGTTTGTACCTACACCCTTGCCTTGTGACAGGTTTCCATACCTTTGATAAATCATGACTTTTTCCTATTAATCCCCTTGAAGCCTTCCTGCAGCCCTATAAAATACTCCTAATTCTCCTTCCTGGGAAAGAGTTAGTGGCAGAGATCCCCCTGTCTCCTTGCTCTCTTGGGCTTGCAATGAAAAGCTGACACCTTCTCTCCTAACCAAAAGCCTGGCTCCAAGTCTTGTTGGTATTAATTCTGTAGTAGGCAGAGAACTCAGGTTTTGTCTGACATCGAGGGCAACTCAAACCTCTTGTCTTAGAGATGGAAAAAAAGAAAGCCACAGGGGTTCCTTCCTCTTCACACTTAGATCATATGAAGCACCTTTAAGGCGTCTCAATGGCACGGTAGGATAAGCACTGCACTGCTAATCACAAGGTCAGCAGTTCAAACCCATCAGCTTCTCCACAGGACAAAGATGAGGCTTTCTGCTTCCGTAAAGATTTAAAACTTTAGAAACCCTATACAGGATTGCTATCAATTGCAATCAACCAAACGGTAGTAGATTTGAGCTTTTGATTTTGTTTTGGTGGTACTGTGGGTTACGCATTAGGCTGCTAACCACAAGATCAGTGGTTCAAACCCACCAGTTGCTCGGTGGGAAAAATTTGAGGCTGTCTGCTCCCATCATAAAGATTTGCATTCTTAGAAACCCTAAATATGGTCTCTAAAATTGAAATCAACTCAGTGGCACTAGATTTGGGGTTCGACATCTTTGAGCACAAAAAGTCATTATTGGGAAGATTCTGTCTCTTATCTGGGCCTGCCTTACAGAATTCAGTGCTTATATGGAAGATAAAAGATCCTGAGTGAAACTTAATGACCATCGGGCTCCGGCCGGAGTAGCCCTGGTTCTGCTGCCCTGACCTGGTTCTGTTTCTACAGCATCAGTGATGGAAAGGCAGATTCCAACTACAGTACAAGAGGCAGCTAGCGAGGCAGGAAGCTAAAGGTTCTAGTTCTTTTCAGAAAAAAACAGGTGATATATCTCACAGGATAAAATTACCTTTTAAAAAGAAATTACATATGAATATGCAATGATGTCATGCTAAAGAATCATTAGCATATTATGAAGAATTGATTTGGCATAAACAAGTTCAACCATCACTCTCCGTGGATCTTATAAACCAACAGTGTACTATGAAGGAGGCTTTGTTACCTGAGAAAATTTGAGTTCAGTGATCTAAATGTAAATCTGAAACTTTCCCTTTGAGAAAAGCAAACCCTTAGAAACTGTCATAAGCCATTTATGAACATAACAAAAGCATAATGATTTAGTTCAATTCTGTAATTGATTCGTGTTGGCTATAAAGTCACAAATGATTCCCTGGGTGATGATTTTACTCACTCATTTTTGTTGGGCACTTAGTATCTTTCGTTTCTGTTTTTGTAGGGCTCCTTAATTACTATTTGAGAAACACAACTAATATGCTAATTATAGGTCTTTCAAAACAAATTCAGTGGCTTTTCCTTTGTTCTTTCTTGTCTGAATTTCAAAATAGATGCACATAGACCTCAGCAACTTCAAATTAAAAGTCATGAAAGTCCTTAGCTACTCATACAGTTTGAAACAGCATTTTCCTCTTGTAGTCACAACACGCCCACTGTACTGCTGGCTCTTCATGTATGCAAAGCTTTCTGTACTGCTAATGTTGTTGTTAGGTGCCATCGAGTCGGCACTGACTCATAGTGACCTTATGCACAGCAGAACGAAACACTGTCCCATCCTGGGCCAACCTCACTACTGTTGGCACTACTGAGTCCATCAATGCTGCCACTTGGCCAGTCCATCTCGTTGGGGTTCTTCCTCTTTTTCTCTGGCCCTCCACCTTACATCCTGTAAAACTGGCACTGTTCAACAGAGACCCTACCCTGGGAAACCAAATGGAAACATGGTTTCTTCACAATGGACTTCTTCCCACAACCCCAAAAAGGCAAGAGGAGAGTGAGTTTGGGGGGACCTGAGGAGCATGGTTGTACTCACTGTGAATTCTGTGGTTGTCATGGTGGGTCAGAGGCAAACCAGCTTCTGGAAAGAGAAGACAAAAATAATAATAATAAATAAAGATGAATTGATTGTAAATGAACGCTAACTACCAAACATCAAAAGATCATTAAATCTGCTTATGATCATGAAAAAAAAAAATCCCATAAAAGCGGTAGAGTCCATGTTATACTAATTATTGTTATTAGCTGCAGCACCCCTGTATAGGGTTTCTGAGGCTTTAAATCTTCAAGGGAGCAAAGAGTCTCATCTTTTTCCCAGGAAGCAGTTGGTGGGTTCAAACTGCGGACCTCGTGGTTCACAGTCCTTGTGGTTCACAGTCTGGTGTTTTTGGTTATACTAATATAAAGGCAAATGTTCAAGATTTCAAATTATCTTGGTTGTTGACATAGAAATAAAAGAAATCTCTCTTTTGAAGGTAACATTTACCTCTTTAAATCTGGTAGTCAGCAGACTCCAGGATTCATGTCTTTTTACTTAGACAATCATTAGTTCATTTTCCCATGAGGAACTGTGACAAGGCCACTGAAGCGTTTAGGTTTTCACCCAGCATTTCCTTTTTACATTAGCTCATTTTTCTCCTGTCAGCCTCTCTGCCAGGTTCTGTTTCACTGAATGTTCCCATCCCCACCCACATCACCACCATTTTATCAACTGAGGGGCTTGATAAAAATAAGACGATGACAGTGGTTGGTTTGAGAATGTCCTGTGCCCCTTGACTCTGGGTAATTGTGGTAGCAATCACTCACATCAGGGTCCCTCTCCAGCACTCAACTGCACAATAATTAACAAAAATGACTTTCATTTTTCCCTTTTAGACTTTGCAAACTATTAAAATTTTCACTTTGTGCATAACATTTTAAGAGCGCTCATAAAAATAGTTTGTCAATGTTCAAAAAATCAAGCCCCCCTGCTCTTCCGTTCAGCACACCTGTTTGCAAAACTCGTCCAAAGAAGGAAGTTGTCTTTCACTCCAACTGGCGGGAGAAGCCATTCACACTAAAAGAAGAATTCTATGATGAAAGTTGCTGCAGATACTACTTTAATTTTTGCAACTTTGAAATCCCATACTAGCTTTTTTATTTAAGTTTCTTGTGCTTCCATTATAAATGTATCCAGGCTCATAGAAAATTTGGAGAAAGCCAAAGAGTAAAAAGAAGACATGTTCCCCCTCATCTTACCATCTGAAGATACCTCTGACAACCTTGTCATTGATTTCCTTCTAAACTTTTGTCAGAATATTTTTAGAAAATTTCATCCCACCAGCTGCAGTCTCAGATCG